AAGGAGAGCTTAGTGTTCTCAATGGTGTTGTGGCATTCGATATTCAGTGTGCCGATATGAATGAACGTAAAACTAACCTGGCGTATATCATTTCAGTTGGTGGATCTGTCTGTGTATGTCTGACAAATACTGCCTAGGTTGATAAACTGAGATATAGTTGAAATATTTTACGTTTGCTGCACGTCAGTTGATTAAATATAGTATTAATAAACCGGAGTTTTAATTTATCACACACTATAAAATATAATTTATTAAAAGCCTTTCAAAATGGGAAGTTAACAAAGAGTATCATCTTTGAATTATAGTCTGCTAAAATATCTGCTTAATGCAAAAAGTATTTCTCATGTAATCACATACTTTATGAAGTGATATTTTCTGAGCCATAACTCCGTCGAGTATTAGCGGTCTACGCTCTTATTGAAAAAAAAAATGCTTCGCTTATTAAGCTCCACCATCCGCTCATTGCTTTGAAAGACGTTATAGTGGGGAAAAATATGGAAAACTTGTGTGTCTATTAAATCCATATAAAACATAGGTCAGGGCCGAAACGGCTAATCGAAGATTTCGAATCGAAAATGGATTTTCTCAGCATCACGATGCCGATGCTCAGTAATGCCGTAACGGAGCAGTTCGTGTCCCTCTTTACTCAGCAGAACCACTCAGAAAAGCAATCATAGCCCTCTGACGATTTACCAAAATATTTTCTCACAATTTAACGGACTCCGCCAAAGTGCCTCTCATCGTCATTATATCCGTATATTGGTTCAATAGCTAGATAGTGTCATCGTATCAAAATGAGCTAGCCCCTAACGAAGCCATCTTTGTAATGTCAGTATTAGCCGTAGCTGCGATCTTTCTAGTATTCTATTAAGAGGACTTCTAGACTGGTTATAAATTATGAGTATGAAAAATGGCTGCGTTTAAAATGTACTTTCGGTGTCTTAAAATACCGTCGATCACATTATCGTTTCTAAGTATGACACCACAATTAGTAGTACAGTTTTTATCGAAACAGACTCTTTGCCCGAATATTTCATCGTAAACGAGCAGAAAAGAAATATGCTAACTTGAATAAATGGTATATCATTTCGGAGTAGTTTATAAGCATATACAGGTTGTTGTATAGATACCCGGCAAATGTATTTTTCCAGGTTTATTAATTTTCATTTATTCATTATGTTAAATCTATGGGAAGTTGACAAATTGAAAATATTCAAAGGTGTGTTGAAAAAAGTAGAGCCATTTTTGGTGGAGGCGTTTGCCATAGTGAAGAAGCTGAACAAAATAATTGCTGTATCTATTGAATTTGCATCCGCCAAATCGAAGTTTACCACATCCACAGCTCAGGCCATCACGCTCAGTGATATTTGAGCGCTTAAAAGTGAGATTCTTAGCTCTCGTCGGTTTGATCGTATACTTTAGACCTATAGGTAATTACCTAAAACACAAAAAACAACTCGTCTCGGTACCAAACCTGTAGTACTTCATGCACAACCAGGAGATTTCTCCGTAGGGTTCGCTAAAACATCAGAAGGGGCTAACAATCATGTCGGCTATATGAGATGCCACGATAAAAATCTATTCGGTAGCTGCGAAAAATACATCGCTGATGCGTTGTTTTTGTTCACTTGACGTTACTCCTTTTATACAAAATGCAGATATTTTAGGATCCACTCTCTCAGCATTGTCATCGAATATAGCTGGTGCTGAGGATAAAATTTGAGGCAATTGCCTCAAACGCGTTCCTTTTGCATCTATGTCGAGCTCTCAGCAATTGGTAACTTCACCAAAAATATTCAAGGGGAGCTCAGCAGATGCGATTAGTTGAGGATATTCCAAGCTAACATTCTCTGGGCCTAAAAGTACCCGTATAAAGCATGCACAGGAGCAACGGACGGTAAGCAGGAAATAGGCGCAATCAACTTTTTCATTAATAGCCACTTCGGAACTGTATGCTTTCCAAGGAATCCCTTCTCCAGCACCCTGACTGACACAGCATAGATGTTCCTACATATAGTTGAAAAAATTTAACAGTCGATAAAGTTGAAAAACGCACACACAATTACGCAGGTAATTATTTAGAACGAAAATAAAGGAGAACAACCCAAATTGATTTTTGCCCCACATTCTGACTACATACTGTTGTGCTAAATGAAAATTCTTTATATGACTAGCTTGAATGACCGTGGAACTTAGTCCATTCTGGCGCTCATTAGAATGAACTAATTGAGGGCCTATAATAGGGAAAAGGGTTAGATACACTAGCTTGGTCTTAACGTAAATACGAGTAGTTCAAGGTCAAGGCTAGGCGGAGGCAATAACTGAGTGTGTGTTAGACGCATGATCGGTGTCAGGTCTGCTTATTCATAATACTATCTGTCTCTCATGATGCAGAGATGAAATGTCGTTCCTCACATGTCATTCGATTTTATACGTGTGCTTATGTATCATAATCACACTTACCATGAGGCTAGCGCATCAGATGAAGCGTCTGTTTCTGCAAAACAAATTATCGTATCATTATGAGCCAAAGGCTAACTATTTCTCCTGATTGACATTACTAAGAACTGCGTCTGTTTTCTTTTAATCTGTTAGCGTGAATCACACAGGTGGACAAATGGCAAACCACAGAGAAGAAGCAAAGTTACCGAACAGCAGAATAAGTTATGCAAATTGTGAGCAAACAATTCGACGGTTCTTATATTACACAACCTTTTGCTAAAGGAGTAACCGTTACACAGCTTAGAGGCCAAGTTGGCAGTTTGCAAAATATGAGGGCTATAGTCGCGAGAAAGTTAATGTTGAATTAGTGTAAAGTGCACGATATATATTACATAATCAGCAAAAAAAAATACAGCCCGTGCAACTTTTACCGGACAAGGCTTATCTTTACAAAGCAATATCTTCGCCAACGTTTGTTTATCTTCAATTCTGTAACGAGCAACGTTGACTTGTGGGGTTGACTAGCCCACTCCTTGACTTAATGTTTGCTCAATATCTAATAGTGCACGTTAAATACGCTGTATTTCAGCAGATTGTATTGTTTTGCACGTAATAGGGAACATACAAAGTCGATGACGACCAGGCAGATGCTGGTTTCCTGTGATCCATTGTTGTTATTGAGTTTTCTATACTTATTTAATTACTGTTTGCCTACTAATACTCTCCAAAGCTCTATATTGGCGTGGCCAGTGTAATACTCATGGGCGTACACAAGTCTAATTAGCCAAGACAGTCGACGACAGTGCTAGCCAAAGGAAAATTACGTTGGGGTGTTATTCCCTACGGAAACTTTTATAACAGCTTGGTGGTCAAGGGCAAGAACAAATATAGACAGTGATGACATTTTACCTTCTTTACGGTTTTAACTAATTACAGCCAAAGTAGTTGCTAAGGTGTCCGCACGCTCGAAAAAAATCCATGTACGTTTGTTTGTCCTCCTGTATGTTATGTCTACGACTACTATAGGAGAAAAATACGTATTGAAAGATGGATGGAGATATTTTTGAGTAAATTATGGTAACTTAAACGCGTGTCATCCTGGCTCGGGGACAAAGTCGAATACATCTCGAGCAATTACGAAGTGACAGAGTTACATTTTAATCCAAAATTGTGCGAAAAAAGTAGACTGAATCCACCCAGCCACAGGGACACTTAAATTCAATATGATAATTGTTTTTCAAACGGAAATTTCTCATTTTGATTAGAACAACATTTTGACATAGCAAGGCAATATGAAAATTGTATCTGAAGTGATTTTAGAGGGCAACCGGGATTAAAGATTGCCAACAGCCACCTACAGCACTCGTCGTTCATTCACCTACCAGTGTACATCGTGCAGGAAAGGAAAAGGAAACAACCCGGCATTTTAATCATAAGTTCTCGTTTTCTTAGTGCGTCATCATTAGCCTTTGCAAATGAAGCTCCGCCTAATCGAGTCATGTCTCGCAAATAACTCGCCTGTCATTTGCTTTCGAAGAGTTTCTAGCATACACATTTCTCTTGCGGAACCTTAATTGAAAACTACATAGATGCATGCCTTAGAAAAGACTATGCTCAAAATTAGCTTGAACTTTTTACGCCGCATATTTGTTGCAATGTCCGTTCGAATACTGGTTGGTGACAGCCTTTTCCGCGTCCCGAAGAAACAGAACGTTGAAAACTCGTTGCGGTACTGTCTATCACTCGGAAACAAAAGCAATCATACAAATGGCTCGAAGAGGGATACGTTTCCTGCACTTCAATATTCAAAAGACACAAAAGTGGACATAGATGCTGCCAAAGATATTCCGAATAGGACCTATCTTCGCGAAACTGACAAGAGGTTGGAACATATTGTCCTATCTCGAAGTGTATTAAGCGTAATAAATATATCAATCTTGCAGGGGTTAATGGGATTTATGTGTCATTTAATATGTATCGTTGTTATTATCCGTATCAATGTAACCAAAAACGGGGTACAATGGCCAATCTATGACGAAATTAGAACAGCCTGACGAAGAAGTTAAATTTTGTCAAATGTATGGAACTAGAAAGTTGTTTCTAAAAAGGATACGTAGGTCGGTTTATTTTATTCGTTTATTTTTGAACAAATATCGAGGTTGTGTCACTACCTCAGAAGTAATAAGAGCAGCATTTAAATTTTCAGAGGAAAATTTTATATTGTACTTAACTAGCACAAAAATGACAATTACGAGCAGCACGTACTGGGAGCTGTTTGCATATGATTATGAAAAGTTTCTGGAAGAGGTTTGTTTCAGGGAATGGCTTCAAAGTACGTTAAGAAAGTATCGACATATTATCCACTTGAAAAGTATAATATGCTTGATTCCAATTAATCTAAATTATCCAAAGAACGTATGAATGGTCCAAGGACTTGAGAGGTACCTGGCACCGTAGCTGCCCATATCCGAGATACTTAACCAGTTAATTTTTTTTCATTACTTGCGCTATCATAGTAATAAGTTAACATTGTGTTTTTATTTCTATGTTCGTTTCAGCCTAAGGAATCGATAGGGATGACCAAAGCACTGTCTCATTTCTACGAGGTTAAATGTAAGCGTTTCACGTAAATAAAGTGTGTTCCTACGTTATCACTATGTAACGTCTGCTAACGTATTTTTCCAACAACTGATGACTGTCGGAATTTACTGTTACAAAAATGTTTATCTAGTAGCAGTAGATCAAGATTACTCCATTATCGAAGCGCAGCGACTATATTCGTAGTAACGCCAGCTTCCAGCATCCTTAACCTGAAAAGCTTAACTTTCTTTAAATCCGAATGCTAAATTTCATGTTCTTAATGATGATTTAAAGTATATGCTTCCGCAAGATAGTAACTTCAAGTTAACCTGTTAATATGCTAAATTGTAACTCCCCTAAAAAGAGAAGCTACCAATTTATCTTCTAGAGGTCGCTGAAACCATTCATTAATCTTAGCAATTTTAATTTTTCTCAATGCTTTGCGGAGAAGTTAACCCGAAATGAAAGTTCCTTTATATTATTTGTGTTCGGCTCTCCAACGCTAAAACATGTTGTGATGTGTATGCTAGATTTTAGCAACTTTGTAAGCAACTTTCGGGTTTTGCCGCATTTATATTTCTATTTGCTCATAATTACGGTTATGTGATGGCTCAACAATTACACATTTTTTTCGAATTCTATTATTTAATTGCAAAAACTTCAAAACTTTTGACCGTATCTTATAACGTTATTAATTTATTTTTAATAATACTCTTTATAACGTGTCTGTTAACGTTTTATTTTGTTTAAATGATCTGCTTTCAGTGCCCTCACCGATAACCAGCATTTCGAGTGTGTCTGTGTCCCCATCGACGGCGCACGTGTACTGGACTGCTGGGATTTCATCATTAGATGGGTCGACCTCGCAACTGTCTCTGGATCGAGATCAACCCTCAGCAGTGGGGCCGACTGGACGACCTGTTGAAGTAACGACCGAAACTGAATTAGCTTCTCGCTCAATTCGGCTTTTGGCCTACTATATTGAGCGTGACCAGCGTCCTGCGCGACTGACACTTGCAGAAGAGTTATTCGAAGATGGGTTGCGCCCGTCGGCCAGCTGCAATGTCACAATTTGTATCAGGCGGTTACAAGTGGCTCGGATGTCCTCTTTTGAACCTCATAGTCCACGCCTGCCGTTACTCTCAACGCCAGTGTGCGCTACTGGGTTACGGGGACTTCCACTTGTTTTTGGTAAGTAATTTCAATACACGCCATTGGAATACAATAGAGAAACGCTATGTAGATATATACACAAACTCACGCGAATAACATGCCAAAATACATTCTTACCAAATAAGTTAAAAAAACGTGCTAATTCAACATCTATAACGTAAACAAACGATTTCGGCTTGGTAGTAAATACACAATCATGTAATAAGGCTAGTGTGCAAATCCAGCGATTTTTATGCTTCCTAATACTTATTTAGGCATTCCACGCCATAGTGAATGATTTAAGCTTAAAGCAAATGCTTAAATAGTCAGACATCGGAGAGTTTTTACTTGTAAGAGAAACGTTTGCGGTTCAAGTGTCTGGAATATGTTTCCTATCGAACACTACAGAGGATAAATGATCTAAATCCGCATATTTCAATCTTTGAATTCTGCTAAATAGCTAGGTACCTTTATTGCTCAAAGGCAAAGACTAAGGTAAGCATTTCATGATTGTAAGTAACTAAGCATTTATCATCCTGCCACGCCCATTGTTGACCTTTGACTGCTCGATATATTACAAATTAAATTGCATACATTTGTGTTTATATCACTGAGTGTTGCATTTTATAGTACTATGAGAGCCAGCGGGCGAGACTGCAAATATATTTTTGTATATTTGTATACATTATATATTTTTTATATCAATATATATATTTTTACCTCATCCTATACCTATTTATTCATTCAAATACGCCTATATTGTCTGTTGATAATAATATCAAGGTCTAATATAGTAATTGTTTTTTGTGACTACAGTGAAGCCTTTGTATATAGCATTCGTCGAGATAGTCGCGATGAGTCTAGTCGTCTCCGTAATCACCTGTATATTTGTACATTATGGTAAGGCTTTGAATCTAAACTAATAAAACCTGTTATTCTTAGTTTTTTTTTCACCTGAAGGCCGATTGAAATGTGTGTCCTATACAATATTATACACTGGTATAGTTTGTTAACATTACACGATTATATCATATAAAAAAGTAATAACCTGCCAGACTAAAGCATATATACGCCTGTAGACATTTAGCCTTATCCAACTATTGCCAACATCTTGTAAAACGCTTTTCCTTCTATGATTTCGTTTCAACACATTGCAGCTCTCGAACGCCTGAAGACGCACCTTTGTAGTCCGTCGCGGCATTTGCGCGATGGAGATAGTGGAACGGATGATTTGTGGGTAGCTCCGACGGGCGAGTAAAAAAGCGGCACAGTTTCAAGCAGACGAGTGAAAAACGACCAAAAGCGAACTGGCTTTGGGGGCTTGCGTACTCTTGGAAGTACTCGACAGGGACTGACTGACCACGACGATGAAATGGTCGAGCCTAAAGAAGAGTTCCTTATAATTGGGTCGGGCGGTCACCGTCCGCCGTTATCATTGGCCAGTTACAACAGCGGCGCCGAACATCGATCGGGAAGCGGCGAACTGTAAACTTCCGTCTAGGCTTGACCATTTGATCAAAATGTCGATGGTATCCCCAAACGTCAATACGCGGACAGCCGCTGCATCAACAACAACGATGACAACAAATAAAGAATACGTAACAAAGCAAGCCACCACCACGTCCTCCTCTGGTGTTGCAGAGTCACGACACTTATCGGTCGCCAGCACGACCATTTCAGCAATAGCAAAAGTCACGAAATTACTGGCGTTAGTGACATGTCTGCCGTTTAACAGGGGCAGCAACAGCGCGAATGCGGCAATTATAATTTTCAGCAATTAACCCCTTGGAAACCAGCAATACTGACGAGATTGCCAGCAGCGACGGTGGATACTGACGAGCAACAGGAACAAGCATACTGACAAATAGACAGACGACAAAAAAGTCGTTTTCGATATAGCAGACGTATCTCACCTACTTAACAGAACGTAAATAGATTAAGAAGCAGTGACATAGGGGTAACAGTAAAGCTCGTAAAATGCGCCAAGAAACTCAGTCGAAATGCAAAAAAAAAACTATTAAAATGGAGCTAATGCTTTGCCAGCAGAAAGGTGCTGCAGGTCACGACATGGACTGCTTGAAGTGCGTTGTCACCCGCATATCAGGATTATTTATAATCAATTCAACTGTACAGCTAACTTCATTCTATAAGGTACACAATTTCAACGGCTTCCGTATCCGCTTGCTCTCCCTCGGCTCTACTATGACCATTTTGTCACCGTTTTAGACAATTATCGAGCCATGATAGTATGAATAAAATAGATGACAAATAACGATGAGATCGTTTACCTTGAAATCGACTGATCGATTTTTGATGGATCGGAAAGGAAAAGCGCACAAATAATCGCACGGGTCGAGGCATAAGGCGTGACGCGAAGCAAATGATTGTCAACAAGTTATGCTGAGATAATACACTGACTAAAAAAGTCACGAAAAATGTTGCTTCTATAAAATTAATATGAAGATAAACGGAAGAGTAATTCAGCTCGCGACGATATAATACTGTAAACAGTGTATATGGTGACTGCGAATTTGGACACGTACTGTACATTCCCTGAAAAAATAATTTGAATATAAATGTATCCAGCGGTATGCAACAAACTTAAAATCGAAATGTTAAAAAGAAGCAAATAAACCACGAAAGAAAAAAAGCACATAAATCACAGTAGTAGTTCGAGGAATGAGGTCAAATGTCCTTTGGCTCGTCTGTTTGCGTCAATTTTGTTAAACTCTCATCAAAGTTTGTCGATGAAATAGTGATAGGCTCACCCTACCAGATCACTCAGATGACCGCCTTTGCGCCTGTAATTAAATGCCTCGAATGAAGTACGATATTATTAAAGGAAACGCGCAAGTCTAGTGGCTGCAACGATTTGACAAGTTTAAAGGCGACAGTGATATCATTCAACACTTTTACGGGACGTCCAAACGCTTTGTCATTAAATATTCGCTAAAATGTCTTTGTATAAACCAATGATAGTATTTGAACACTTTTAAACAAATAACGATCAATCAGTGGATTTTTGAGAGGAATCGCGCGATATTCGGCGACGTTCTCCTCGACGACGATGCAGGCTACATCAAGCATTATTTTGTAGAACACCTCAACTGGTTTGTTTGAATTTCAATAGCGTTCTTTATGCTCAATTTTAGGAAAGCTCGAATTTTACGCAAAAATAACTTAGAAGTAGCAGTTAGTACAGCTCCGTTTGCAGCCTGTAAACGGGTACAGCTGTTGCCACCATTCTTCCTAGGGAAACAAAAAATCGTACGTTTAAAACATACGAACGGGCTTAGTATAGACAATTCATGGTACACGCGAGGGCTATCGAAAGATGTAGTTGACTTGTTCAACGAAACAGGGCAATGAAAAAAAGAAATTGCTTTAGTCTGATTTAATCTAGGCCAATGCGCGCTTTGCCTCTTTCGAGCAAGGCGTGGGTTCGTGATTGAGGTAGGTTACGCGACCGCGAGACGTGTGTCTTCCTTTATGAGCATGGTAACAATTCTCTGTTAGCATTTAGTACAACTAAGATATGGAGCGAGACACTCTCTTGAGAAAAGTTTCTTGTATAGCGAAAATCCTGCTTCTTTAGGCGACATAAATTACAGAATCAACATTAAGTATAGGGGAAATCGACACGGAGTTGGATGTTTAATTTTGAAAATTGGACGCATTTGTAACCAAATGAGGAATACACAATATAAAGCTAACGTTATCTGCCGTAGTATTTACTGGTAATGAAGTAAACCGACTTTTTTGTGATCAGAAATATATCTAAAGTTAAGTATTGCTGCAACGAAATTGTTTCATTTGACATCGTGACATGTTCATATTAGAATGCAATCTGTTGTTAAGTTCGCTCAACTTAAAGAAGACGTTTATAGGTAACAAAAAAATAGTCAGAGTAATTATGGAGAATCAAGAATCAATTGATCCAAACTGACATCCAAATTGACAAATTATGTCTGTTCCTTTTTGCTGAAGCATGTTTTCATTCTATCTTTGTTTTGATTGATATTACATGTAATTTTTCACGCTTGCGTTCCAAATATCGATGTGATGAATAAGCAACAACAAATCGTGTGGGAAGTCTAGGCTAAGTTTGGGATTTTAACTATGTTTTGCTATAGTACTGTCGCAATGACTGTGCTCTTTCCTTGTTTCCTACCGAAGCAACTGATTGAAGCCATGCAAACGAAAAATGGCACAGCGCAATGAAGCTACGATAGTAGTAGTAATTATGAGCGCTTCCATTTTTCCAACTAATAACCCGCGAACCCCACTGCCATTAATTAATTGATCTACAAATGTAGCCTGTTAAATTAAGTAGTTCGCTTGACACAGCATATTAAATACGTTGGCTGGGCAAACACCTCAGTTCAGATAGCGTACTATTATAGAACGAGTTGTATAGATACACCAGACGTACGCCAGAGTTTAGGAATGGGCGTGCGTCTGGGATTTTCGCTGGGAGCATAAACCCGCCTTCAGTCAATAGAGAATTCCGGTTGGGCATCTTCGCGTCGCTATCGGAAAATCTTAAGGCCACTAAATGCATAGACACTAATAGACTAGACACGATCCTACACAGTGTGCTCCCCTAATATGGTACTACGGGGTCTCTGTCTATCGACTTTTGTACAATAAAAGAGCAATCAGTGCAGACTGCCTCACCCCCCATCAAACTTATGTATTATAAAAAAAAACACATAGGTGGACAGCCATAGTAAAGCACGTCCGTTTTTGTCACACTCTCGTTACGGCGCCTACTTCGTCGAATGAAAAGGGTGTGAGGCTGCTGTATAGGTTGACTTCTACGAAGAGAAGCAACTAGGAAGCGATCTCTGTTACCGCACCGTCAGAAACATATCTCTCTGGTAATGCTGCCTACATACTACTGCTACTATTTGGTCATTATGTTGCTCAATAAATAGAGCCGATTCAATTACTCTGACGGCAAACGAGATAACATTAACGTAAACGTGAAGTTACAGAGTATGACTGTTATTGTGAATGCCGCCAGCCTTGGCTTAACGATGGATTATTTCGTATATGACTGGATCTACCTCTAAATTAAGAACTTTCATGACACTTACGATCACAGCCATACAGATTTGAGCATAGTGGTTCTTCTAATTTGGCAAAAATTGGCTTTTTTTTTTCTTCAACTATTTACGTTTTCCTTTGCGAATGATATCACAGTGACAGTATTTTTTATACACGAATCATGGGCAACAACACTCATTAAAAACCACTTATTCTTTTGTTTTTTCGCTTAATATCATTCTTCTGCTTTAATCTGATTCACTGAAGTTAAAATTTTGCGTTTGTGTACCACAGAGATAAATGTTGAGATCATCAAAAGCCGCCTCGAACTCGGCGAGTGCAGTACACATTATTTATAGTATATGATATTTATTTAATATTACACTAGTATAATTTAAAAGGAGGAAAACAAAAATGCAGTTTTGTATCAACCAGAGCGGACTGGACTGGGCTGGGCTGTGTATAAATCTGATGTAAATAGAGTATTCATTTTGACCCACTTTGACATGAGCAGCAATCACAATGGTCATATTCAAATAAACTACACCGTCATCTTGTCGTATGTAAAATGCGAAGGGGCCTCCCTTTTCTGAATATTTAAGTAAAATTCATTAGCTGATTAGAAGCGTGTATGCCGTGTCTTAGACATGTCAGATTTACGGTTTCTATTCGTAAACGAAACAATATGAGTAATAACATCTGGGTCAGAACGTTCCTAGAACAGTATGAAGGCTATGCCTTTAGTTACAGAACCAACATGCAAATATACATAAAGCAGATGTAAAACGTGTTTGACTACCTTACACGAGAATGTTCTCTATAAAGGCAAGTAATTTATAAATCTCCATTTTGGAAGCTTATTTGCGTCATTTCAACTATGGTTATCATTGCATTTTATAAATATTTTTAAGCATGAATCCGAATACACTTGTAAATAAGAAGTGCCATTACTGGTATATTTTTGGCCAGATTATTGAAAATGTTTTTGTTTCAATATGAGAAAAATATAGACTAGCAAAGGGGGGATGAGGGTGGTTCTCGAAGAAGACTTTTACTTTTAATTGTAGAAGCAAATCCGAAATTTAGAAAATTTATAAGCATAGCAGCTCTTACATCTGCTTACATTCTGAGCCTATTATATATATATATATATTATCGTATCCAATGGTCGTCGAAAACAATAAAACCAGATTTTGTTATCTATTTGCGTGGGCGTTATCATATTATCCATTATAATCTTGCCGAAACATAATGCGATAAAAATCTATTAACTCCAATGTTTCGAACGTTGATAAGATTCGACCTGATTTGCTAGTATCCACTTTGTGAACCGCGAAACGTTTAGTCTTCTATCGATATATACATTTTACATACATAAATACATTTTTTGAGAGTCAAGTTCCATTTCCGCAGATGATTGCCGAAAACATCGGTACCAGTTTTCTGCTCGTTGTGGACCCTCAACCCTACACGTACCACGTGTTGGCACCCACATTGAAGATTCGTATAACTGAAAATTGGTTATTCGTTTCTATGCCAAAAACAGCTACGTACCAGTGCATTTCCGTTTGGCACTTCACTCCTAAACTTAGGGTAACTAGAACATTTATAAATGAAGTGTTTCCTTGGCGAATCATATCTTTTACTGGATAGTTGCTGAGATGTCGCTGCGGTACTGTTGGCAAGTTGAGTTCTCAAGAGGACCATCTCCTTTAACTAGTAGCACAAAATAAACTTCTATGATTTGTGAAAGTTGACAATTTAAATTTTTAACTGACTCTTTATTTGTATTACACATGTTAAACGAAAATGATTTTTATTTTAGTTTATAAATAAGTTAGATTAGATGTTCTAGCTATACATGATTTACATACTATTAGCAACCGAAATTTAACAGACATTTACATCAGGATTCTGGCTATCTATGATTATGAGCAGACTGTAGATGTTAGACGATATTGACTTGAGAAATAAAGATGTATTTCAGTGTTAAGGGTCAACGCTCAATAATCGATTTATTGCTTTATCAGGGTAAGGGCGTTGGTAAAATACGTCGAGAATTAGTGAAAGCACTGGGTACAGAAGTGCCAAGTGAAACAGTTCGTGACGGGTGCAGTGTTTTTGAGAGCGGACATTAACAAGTCAGAGACGAGAACGTCACTAGGCCCAGGATTATAGACGGAAAACTGATCGCTGTTATTAGAAAAATTTATAAAGAAAAAGGGCACAATCAAAGTTGATCTTTGATGATAAGTGATACATGATATACTTGCTTCCAACCCCATTATTATCTAACAATAATCGATTAGCTTATAGTTGTGCGTAGCCAAAGATATAGTGTAAATTCGGTCCGCTAATGGTCCGTAGTTAAAAAATCAAGTATTTTGATCTGCTAAGTAACTCCTGATAACTTCGTATAACTTGTCCTTGTTGCCTCTTAGTATTTATAAAAAATAGAATAAGCGTCTTAGACGTCTTGATTACAGGAAAGTAAGTGTATATTCATCTGTTTTACGACTAGGCCATACTAGTGCATCTGCAATGCTTCTCCTACAAATTTCACGACATGTAGGCCCATTTTCCTTAAAGCTTGGTGTTAGGTCGTGATTAACCAATATCGAACCTCGCAACTATAACACTTTCTTTATGAGCCTCTAAGAGCTATAGAACCACTTGCCAACAAACTGCGGTTACATATTGCGAGTCTCAGCGTTGTGTTTTACGAGGGCTACCGCCGTTGGCAATAGCATATCAATAAAAAACTTTGAAATTCCCTGAGACATAACAACTGCAAATTTTATGCTCTTTTTGAAATAATGTCACTTTTTAATGCTCGCGACGAATGTGCTACCCAATTGCTAGCTTGTACTGTCAATCGAATGACAACACCCTTGGCCATACGTTTCGTGTCGTGCATCCTAGTGGCACAGTGAGGTTGGCGGCCAGCCGACGTTACTGAGATTCGTTCTTGCAAAGCGACTGCACTTACAAAACGCTACACGCAGGCTGCTGGTCCCGATTTATTCAAGCGGCAGGAAAGTATTGTGGTGCGGCATATTAGCTCACTATATTTGTTCGAATTGCACCTTCTATTCAATTTTTTTTCCAAAGCCCCACAACCGTACCAAAGCACACTTTTATTGAGCAGTAGTCTCAATTTTGCATAGTATATCTTCATGAGTAGATGCTTATCTGGGAGGTACGTACGCGTAAAAACAACATTAAATAGCGCACCTCAGTAACTTTATAAGTTTGTCGTAAAGGCCGTTTGCCTACACACGCCTATAATGAAGCCGCGTCCCTCGCCATCCGCTACCGTTTGGTTCAGTTCAATCCGAGCTGCGGCTGCCAAGTAGCATTTGAAAAAGACATAGAGAAATAGAGCGTTGGCATATAGCGTTTTTACTATAGTACGAGAAAATAGTTCGAGCAGATTGAAAATGATGAGCGTCCCGCATGTGCGTTTGCCTGGCGACTAGCAAGTACACGATTCGAAAGTGTTACTCTCTCTTCAAGACAGAGTTTATTGATAACGGCTGTTACGAATGGATTCTCTGCAGGTTCCGTCTACAGAGCTCTGGCGTATTTTCGGCATATCAGTCGAAACCAATCAAACTTTTTCGCATGCTAAAATATACATCAAATTTTTGGAGCTTAGATGCCTCACTAGCATATTTATTGTTACTTGGAGGAACACGTATTGGTGCATTATCGACTGTCAAAAGATAAAGTTGATATGCCTTTCTCACGAGTGGCCACGAGAGGCCAGCGAGCGCAAAACAGATACCTGATGGAGAAATGGTTAAAAAAGTCGTGAGTAGTGCACCCTAAACAAATTCCAAAAATGCTGCGGATTTGTATTTCGTGCCCTTGATGTATTTTGATCTCATGCAAATTACTTCAACGAACAAAACGATTTCTGCAACCAAACCTTTGTGAAGAGCAGGACCAGCAAAAGGCAATTCCCTCTTGAAAGGCAGCAGGATTAATAAACATATTAGAAAGGACTATCCATTAGGACAAGGTTTTCTTCGCACACGTCTTCTCTTGTTTTAGAAAGATGATGGACTTTGCCAGAGATAATCTATTTCCCTCATCAACTGAGTACGACCTCGTTTTTCCAAAAGTATCAGCCACTTTTTCTCTTACTAAATCTGCTTATTGAGAAGCGACCAACTTTTGAGAAATAGTATATGAGGAACGTGTATTGGCGAATGTATGCAAAACAGGATGCCGTTTTATGAAGATATAGTATCATAAACTTACTAAATATACTCTACAACACATCATTCGGTAGGTGCCCCCTGGTGAAAAGTTGAACTTCGTCAAACATACGTGAAAAACTGGCACGGAATTACACGGTAACCTAATACACAAGTTCGCATTCGCTTAAGAACACGTGATAAAACTTGAGATATGTTTTAGAATATTCGTGTAATTTTTACGGTTCGTGATGAATTACTCCAAGACAGTTAGGCTATCGTTGCCAAAAACACAAAATTCAATTTTTGGTTCACAGTATTTTTAAGCCCTTTCTACAGGCAGTGGCCACCTTAATCGTCCTCCATAATCCAGTCATAGTTTACTATGATATCCCATATTGTTCAAATGCCACAACAAGAATATCCCCGCTAAAAACTATCCCTACTTTCTCACCACCTTTTTTTTTACCACGAAGCATAACTAATGGACAATATATTAGACCAAGATAAATAAGCATTTTCGACTTACGACGCGCTTAAATAATATATTTAACCGAATTTCTAAAAAATACAGCCAATACGTGTGCCAGAAAGTTTTAAAAGCGTGTTTATAATATGCGCGGATAAGTAAAGTCAAATTAACCACTTAAAAATTCTTTAAATTCACTTTTCAAATTGTCTCTCTCGTATTTACTGGGCTGTTTTTTTGATAATACCTATTTTGTGATAATGATGAAGCTTCGGAGGAGTTTAATAACAGTCATTAAGATTTATTCCGGTAAATAAAAAATGCACATTGAAGTTCTTTGCTTATAATCGACAGCCAATTTATATATCTTCCTTTCTCTATTAAATATTATTTCGTACATGCTATCGAATCTTCTACTTTGTGCACCAAACACTTTTTTTAGGTTTGCGCAAACTAGTAGGCATTCCATGATGAGGACTCTAGAGACCATGCTTAACTCGACAACCCTTGTGACTCCTCGTTTTCAAAATATCTGCATCTATAATAGACATTCAAGTACATCATGCAGTACAAATATTTTGGCAATATGTACTCGAGCAGAGACTGCTTTCATGCATAGACGCGACTTAAAGAAAAAATAGAGTGCTAAGCCGTTAAGCCCGTATATATTCATCAAAGACACAAAAATTCATCGGCAATTTGCGGACTGTTTATGATGGGAATAATTCCTGACCTATATATCTCTATATTGTTCGGACATTTTGTCTCCGGGGGCTGCAGCCATTTCAGCTATTTTTCGAATATGTAACGTCGGCCTTTCGGCATGCAACTTATAGATCAGATCATTTGTGGCCTAGCTTTTGAATCATGCGAATGAGTCATGACTTCAGAATGCCTGGACCTTCCTGAATCAATCAACTTTCACTTTTGCTGTGTTTGGGTTCCGAATGCTGTTGGTTTTCTCTTTTCTGTTCTATTGATTCAGTTTTTCAGGTTCCTAAAGAGCCAGTGGTTTCCACTAGGCGGTCGGTGGCTTCGTAGCTCTAGACACAAACAATCATGCGGCATTACTATCAACGTGAAGATTATGTAAATATTTTTCCTTCGCGCTTAAGCTAACCTTACGCGTACATAAAATAATTATTTAGCTACTTTATATAAAGACTTTTATATTTGAAAAATTCTATTTGATTTCTAATAATTTAATTTGCATAAGCTGCAATGGTTTTTGGCGTGTCTAAATGTGAGTTCTACCTAATAAGCTTTACCGGGCTGGTAAAAGAGCCGTCTGATGATTGTAACCCGTTTCGGGTAACACTTGCCTGGGGCTTGTTTATATTTGGCCGAAAACAGTTTGCTGATTGTTCTCGTCAATCTTGAACAGATTGTTTTGGAAAGCTCATAACTGACATAGGGGCTAGATTATTGTTACTGGACTTTTTGTCTTATAAGGTACTAATAGGTTTGAAAGATGAATCCTGTTTATTGCCTCATATAACATTGATGGTGCGAATGTATAATGTATAGCATGCTACATTTAACAGATGGCCTAATACTTGCATATAGAGCTGTTCAGTTCAAGCACTACAGTTTCGTCGGATTGTTGCCATTCTAAAATTAAGAGGAAACGATCTAATAATGCACGTATTACCAAACAAGGTATTACTCTTTTATCGAACCGTTTAACACTGTCACTATTGCATATGCGCTGGCTAAGTAACGAACTCATTCTTTACTAATCTCCTTGTTTTTCTTACAGTTTCGTGAAATGTCCTTCAGCAAACCCCATATTAAACTGACAGGGAGCACATGGTCTATGCTTGGTTTTCTCAGAAGCTGCCATGATCATAACATCCGTTTTTTTGCTCTGACAAAGCAGGCAACTCTGTCGTCCATAATTTCACAGTTTTCGTCTCGACCGCAGTAATGAACTACTATGTGCTGACGGCCTCCTTACCCAGTGATTCTACTGATCTTCGATAAATTCAATCAGCGCCCTATTTTCGAAAACTACAAACTTGATACTATGCGTTAACTTTTAACATTAAACGATTCGAATTTTACGTCTAGTACCGCTGTCAGGTATTCCACCGGACAGCTGACCCTCAGCACTAAATGCGTTATAAAGTCAGTATTTTCTGATTACACTCAGTAAACCTACAACCGTAGATAGTAGGCTTATAGTATAAATTTTTACCAGACCTCGTCTGTTCATTAAACTTTTCCCCGTTATATAGGCACAATAAAACTGGCTATATAGGTTAGAAAAAAGTAATACGATGCTTTGAAGTTTTTGCTA